CCCGTTGCGTGTTAGCCGGGCCTCGCTGTGTCTGATAAGTCAGCCAGCGAGTGTGTTGTGCCGCTTGGCCCTCCCTGTCTGTGAACAGCTCGGGGTGGCTTCGGCTTTGAGGATGGACGGGTCACATCCAAAGCTTCACCTGCGGTTGCTGGCTGTGTTCCCCTGGTGTGTTGCCCGCTTCGCCGGCGTACACACCAGTCGGACCTCGCTGTGGCGAGTAAGAGTTCTCCAGCCTGTAGCGCCGACTCTCTGTCTGGCATTGCCCTCATGTTGTAGGCCTATGCGACCAGCGGGATGCTACTTGGCAGCTCGGTGTGCTGCGTTCCCTGCCGGTCTGCCTCGTGGTTCCCGGGCTGACCTTGAGCGGCCAATCACTTACGGTCCTGTGTCCTGCATGACCGGTTCAGGGCAGTCTAGCGTCTGCAGACTGCTGCCTCCACCCCCTGGCTCGGCCTTCGCATTGCGAAGCCCTGACCAGGGTGGTGTCTCTCTTGGTGCGTTGTCACTGACTCCCGGCACCTTCACTCTCGGTGGTGCACTGTCTCCTCGCTGGTTGTCTTACAGAGTTACCCCGTACATATGGAATATGTAACGGTGTGGAGAGATAGTCTCGATATGCTAGAGAACGTACGGTTACGGTGTAACCTTGGTTCTCTTAGTGAGAGACTATCTCTCCACCGTGAGGCCGCTCGGAGATGCGTTCTGATCATCACCGGTGTCACGTCCACACAGCTGTTTTATACGTAAGCTGTGGGGCGTAGCCGGGCGTGCTGGAGTGTCTTAAAGAAATATCCACACGCCACGACCAAGAGGGCTCGTACTCCGTACATATGGAATATGTAACGGTGTGGAGAGATAGTCTCCCACTAAGAGAACCAAGGTTACACTGTAACCGTACGATATATTTTCCTGTGATATCTAACATCCATGAGTGTCATAATCCCTGAGTCTTAAACCCGAGTTTTTCAGTTTTGTGGTTCAAGGTTTGCTTTGGGGTTCGTGAAAGGATTTTATCAAAGTTGTTGTTTATGATTTTATTCTTGTGCTTTTATGTCTCTGATATTTTTGCCTTTACTTCTTTGCTCATAATGTTTCCTTATATTTGTTAGTTCTCTTTCATGACCCCATTCTGTTCCTCCAGTCTTAACTCTGTGGTTGTTTTTGGACACCAAGACACCAAAATCAAACAGATTTTGGTGTCTTGGTTTCTTGTGCTTTTCATTTCATTTCATTTCATGTCCTTTGTCTCATTTTCACCGATTTGTTTCCCACCTGTTTTACCTTGTGTAAATATTCTCTCCTCTTGCCCTTTTCCGTGTCATCTCACTTTGCTGTGTGCTCCCCTGCTCTGTGTTTCTTGGTTCCATTATTCCTAGTTTTTAATTTTCATATCTCGCTCTGTGTGTGTTTTTGGACTTCCTTTGTTTGTCATTGTTCAGCAATTGAATTGAGTTCATACTGTTTCCAGAGTTTTGTGTTTGGTTCAGCATCCTGCGTGCCACACAGCTATTCATGACACTGCATTTTTAAATAAAACCTCGAATTAATTCTAACCACATATTAAAGTAAAGCAAGTCATATTAACACATTTTTTTATTTTTAAAAATTAGTGCACTCATTGTCAGCTGAAAATGCATCCAGTTCAGAGCTACAGGAAGATCAACAGATGACCAGTGAGACCACCATAAGAGGTACATAGCGTCTCTCTCTATCTCGCTCTCTCTCTCTCTCTCTCTCTCTTAAAGTCTTTTGCCACCTCTTATTTCCAGTCTCTCAGTTTTTCTCTCCTTGGGAGTCGTTTTCATTCCAGCACTTCCACCTAACCATTTTCAGAGGCACATTTTCTTGTTTTCTTAAGCCTATGACAGAGGATAACACAGTTTGACTGACATAAAATAGTATTTTTGCACCAACAAAGAAATTCTCAAAGAGCTATTAGTCAAAAACCTCATCCGAACATGAGCACACAAACAGTATCTTAAGTTCATGGCTTTAAGAAACAAAAAACAATCCAACAAATATCTGATACAGGGCTAAGAGATGGATATGGCCCTTCAGCCCCACCTGCCATTCACCAAAGCCTCAACAGAAATGGTCTCAGTGGAATGGAGGCTGTCAAGAGGTTCAGGGTGAAAAGGCTGAGGTATGTCAAATTACACAAGAACTGATAATCAGTCGCAACAAGTTTTGTAGACTGAAGAATCCAAAATTTGTACTTTTGGATCGAAACCTTTGTCTATATGTATAGAGGAGCTCAGCAGCGAGGTACCACAGCCAGCTGTGAAACATGATGGAGGTTTTGTTATGATGTGTGGCTTCAATTAAGCCAGTGGGGTTCGGGAGCCAGTCAAAACTGTTTGAAGTATGAATGCAGAAAAGTACTGTCAGATTTTGATCAGGTATACAGGAGCAGCTGATCAGCATCTTTATTTATTTATTTTTTTTAGCTTGGCAACCACACTGCTAATGCAGTAAAAGAATAAATGGATACAAAAGCACAGAATGGAAAACTAAAAGTCAAGGATAGACCTCGAAATTAATTAAATAATGTGAAATCGTTGTGACAGATAATAGAACAAAAGGCCACTAACATCCAAAGAAGAGCTTTGAATGTCCTTAGTGAAGATTAGAAAACTACTACTGAAGACTACTTTAAGAAATTACAAGAAAGTTTGCCTAAGAGAGCTCAGACTATGTTGGATAATATTGTTTTTTATACGAAGTGTTGAATTTCAAGCTGGAATTGTATAAATGAAGTTTTTGCTTCATATACAGTAATTACATGTATGCTTGCTAACCTTTCAATTAATCTCTTCACTTTTAATAGCAAAATATAAAGAAATAAAGATGACTGAAGGCATTTCCACAGTACTGTACATGCCAACACGTTATGTCGTCTGTTTTTGTTGTTTGTTTTTTTTGTTTTCTTGACACAGTTATCCAGACCTGATCCAATAAACTGAAAATCTGAAATGAAAGCACAGAAGCTGCTTTATTGTTTTCATATCATAACATCAATGTCAAGAATGTCTTTTTATGTGTCCTTTTAGATAATGAAGTGGAAGTGGAGAAACTCTGCAATTTTCAGGCTATTGTACAGCACCTGGATCTAAGTAAAGACAGTATTAAGTACACTGTGAGCCGGCCCATTATAAACAACAGTCATCATACAGATGTTGTGCTTGACATGAAACTCTACGCTATCCTGGATATGGTAAGTTGTTCAAGCTACTTGTGTATGTTTGTGTGTTTTAGTTTGAATAAATGATAATGGACATTTTTGTTACCAAATAGTTTGTTTCTTTCGATAATAAAATAATGTCAAAAGTCTGCTCAATTGGTGCATATTTGTCTGCTTCATATGCATAATTTCAGTTTTCACTGTCATGTATTCTCTTTGGTATTCTCTTAATTATGGAGATCCATAAGCTTCATCTATGAATACATCAATGTCTGTCTTTTTTGTGGCCTTCTATGCTTCTGTTAGTTGTCTAAGACCATTTAAGACTTCCCAGATGTTGGGTTTTTCTTGTCTATTGGAGGCTGCATACTGTTGATCTTACCCAGGTCTTTCTAGGATTACTGTGGCACAAGTCAGGCTCAACCATTTGAGCTTGAACACTGCTTGATTTCTTTGTTCACAGAGAGAAATTGACCAGACCTTAATTTCTTACATTTGGGTTTATTTGGTGAGTTTTCTCTTTCAAATACATCAATTTTCACAGTATTGTTGAAATTGAAATTGCTTGAAATTACGTGTTTTCATCTTTTGTCTTTTTCTCCTTGTTTGTATCTCTTTCCTCTTATTTGTATCCCTCTGACTAGTCATGGAAAAACGAGTACACTAAGTGGGAACCAGATGAATTCTGTGGAATTAAACAAATAACAATTCCTACTGAATATTTGTGGATGCCAGATATAACTATTTCAGAGATGTAAGTTTAACATATATGCACATAAACTCACACAGACCATACAGTCACTAGCAATAAGGCATTAAGCTACAGCTAAAAAAAAAAAAACCCCAAAGCTGAACATTTATAATTCATTATTAGAAACGTATATGCTGCTCTTCAAAATCTTAACATCATTAATTTTTTTTATCCTTGAAGATATTGTATAATTCATTAAATATGTTGCAAATTGAGCAGCAAGCCCTTCAAGTCCATGTGGTCATGTTGAGCCCTCCAAGACATTAATAAAGACTATATCTATGTTGACCATCCCATTAAAAAAGAATAGCAACTAAATGCTGTTTTTTTTCCTCAAAACTGTCCTGGATAATTTTGGAGATGTGCACTGGATAATTGTTTTGTCATGGTGCAATCAGCTCAAACCAAGCAGGATTCATGAGGTACATCGTGGCTTTGAAACATGAAATGATAACCTTCCTTTTCCAAGATCCATTTTGTCCAGCACATATCTATATGGATGCACCTGAATATTCAGTTATTTGGATATCCCTCTGTCATTTAGATAATCTTGCAGTGATATTCCTGCACTTGTTCATCCTTGTGTTAGTTTTAGTGCTAAATCCTTTGCAAACCCCCCCCCCCCCCAAAACCTATGGACAGATTGCTTGCCCACTGCTCTATTTCTTTTTACATACCTAAAACAGCACATCGAAAAGATATTGTGTTAGATCTGCCTTTTCCTACAGACCAGTGGCTACTTTTTCAGTGATGAAGAGTTACACATCCTGCACAGGGAGGAATGCAAGTTAGAGTAGCTCCTTTACATGAAAAAAGAAAGACTCAAGGAAGAGGCCTATCTTTCACCATCTTAAAGCTATTTCCCAACTTTCTCTGAATGGTACTCATGGTTTATCCAGTAACTACAGATTAAATCCTTAGTTTTTCTTATACTACGAAAATGGGTCAGTTCTTAATGGGGTACATTCTCCATAGTAACAGATGCTGTATTCTCCAGAGCAGAGATGAAAAGGTATGATTTGCTCTTGAGGCCAACAAAGGGCAAAACTTCTGTGGTCCATGTGTGGGTATTACCAGTTGGACTCTGTGTGGAACAGCCCATAGGGTTCATTTTTGTCCCACGCAGGCATGTTTGTGTGGGTCATTCGTATTGATCCTGGTGGTCTGAGCTTGATGAGGTGTGGATAAAGGCGTGTCTGAGGACAATTGGGAGGGAAGAGATCATTGGTTACCAAACTTTGTCATAATTTCTAGTCCATCATTTCTAGCTGAAATTATTAAGTAATTTAACACAAACTCTTGTGTAAGTCGCCACTTGATGTTGCAGTTTTTATCTGGATTGTAACATAAGTAATTAAGACATGGTGGCTTAATGCATTAATCCTCCTCAGCTGGAGAGTAAGATTTGAGTAGGATTCTGTCTACCTATTTGTCATAACTGATGCTGCTTTTTTGAGTGGCTATAACTGATTGTAATTTTCTGTCTTACAGGACAGAGAGAGACAAAGCCTCTCCGAGTCCTTATCTCTCCATTGAAAGCGGTGGTTTGGTTGAATACAGAAATGACCAGGTGATCGTAAGCACCTGCAAGCTGCACGTGTACAAATTCCCTTTTGATGTTCAGAGGTGTAACCTCTCCTTTAAGTCTATCATGCACTCTGGTGAGCCCATAGCATATATGCGTGCCGTTCATGAAGTTATAAACCCAAACCATCAGATACAAAAATATATATTTCTTTCTTGCTGATCTTTTATTTTTATGTTTCACTTCAGATGAAGAAATAAAGTTACAATTCAACGAAACCAATAATACGGTCACAGAATGGTCTCGAAATGTGATGCAGACACAATACGAGTGGCTGTTTATCAACATGTCAGTTACCACCAAAACTGTCAATGAATTTGACTTCAACCAACTTATGATTGTTTACACTGTGAGTATTTCTGGGAGCAGCTGCACAGAAATGGGGAAAAAAGCATTACTTTCCTTTTTGTGACCATAATACATGTGCAATATAGAGTAGGAGTAGGATGATTAACCACCTCACATGCAAATTGACAGATTACCATGAAGAGGAGGTCTGTCCTCTACATTGCCAATTTCTTGCTGCCAGTCTTCTTCTTCTTGGTTCTGGACTTGTCCTCCTTCCTGATATTAGACAGTGGAGGTGAGAAGCTCGGCTTCAAGATCACTGTCCTGCTCGCTGTCACAGTGATGCAGCTTCTTCTCAATGAGATTCTGCCCAGCTCTTCAGACAGTATTCCACTTATAGGTAAAGAAGAGCATATTTGACTTCATGCAGTGAATTAATCAAGCTATCAAGTCATTAAGTGATTTGTCCACTTTCATGCTGGATGCCCTCCTCAGCTGTCTATTGCATTGGGGTTTTTGCTCTGATGCTGCTCAGCCTCCTGGAGACAATTTTGGTGATGCATCTGATTGAGAAAGACTCGCCAGCCCAGGATAATGAGACAGATGGAAACCAAAGCCTGGTGGAGTGCTGTGAGGAGAAACAGGACATATCCAACTTTCACAGCTGTTGTAGAGGTGTGCTTAATTGTAGCAGTCGTTGTCTGTCACCTATCTATGTAATTCTAGCTGTGTTGCATTGTTCTTCCCGTCTATTTTTTTTATTCCAGACATGAAGAGATGTAGTCATTGTGCATCTGTTCATGATGTATCTGTGGATGAAAGACCAACTGTGTCTACATCAATCAACAGTCTGCCACCACTGACTATAAAGGTTGGAGTTAAATTGGACTTTTAAGTGTTTTTCAAGTGAAATATAAAAACTGATGAAAGACATCATGTTTGCATGAGAGAGAGATTATCCCAAACCCTAACATGGGTGTTGAAAGTAAACACTTTCACTAAATCAATGTGAAAACAAATCAGTGTGTGAAATGTAGCAGCAACTAGACTATAAATGGCTGTATATGTAATCTTATTGATTACATTTCAACAAAACTATTTTTTCAGAGTTGTAGCTGCAACCTGATGAAGATGTTCTTTCCACTGGAAAAAGTCTCGGGTGACCTGCGGGAGACTAGGAAAACCGTGACTCTGCAGAGTACCAACAAGAAGTCCGGCTACTGGACCAATATAGTAAAACATATCAACAGGGTTTTTGTCATTTTTTATTTGACAACAGTGACTGTGTTTTTGGCAATTATGATTTTATTGTGGAACAGTGCTGAAGATGAGTAGGCCGAAAGTTACTTTACTTTAAATCATTAGCATGAGGATTAACTTTACTTAACTAAAAGTTTCTGTTCCTTTATTAAGTCCAAGTCTAAAGTATGCATTTAGACTAGGGGTCGGTTTTGATTATCGATTTATCGATTAAAATCGATTCTAGCTTGGATAACGTGATATCATTCATTAAAATCCTGAATCGATTTTTTTAATATAAATTTATTTTATTCTCATGTTAAACCTCACAAAATTTCAACAACCACCAAACAGCTAAAACAGTAAATGACACGGCTTCTGCACAAAGACGTAAACACAAAGCGCGGACCGTGGATCAGAATCAGTGAGATGTCGCCTTTCTCACCCGACAGCACGGACACGGTCGGGGCTGAAAGCCGACAGCTCGCTGATTCTGATGTTTCGACCGGTCCGCGCTCTGTGTTTAGCGCTAGATTCTAAAGCTGTTAGTTTTATCTTTCTCCAAACAATATTGACCGAACCAGCAGCAAAAGAAGATCCAAACTACGCTTCACATAAAAATCGTCATGACTCCCTCTGACTTTTGCTGTTTTGCTTCCACCACGATAAAATCACACTTCATGCACAGCTCCTCTCTCTCTCTCTCTCTCCTCTCTCTCTCTCTCCTCTCTCTCTCTCTCTTCAAGAACAGTTTCCCGTCTAAAAATCTGTTTTCTGCATTATTCGCTTGCTTGTTATGCACTAGTCTACCGTTGTTTACAGCGCTGTCCGCCGCTGTTTTTTTCACATTATTATGCATGGCAATATAAAGCAATGCAGTCCATGAGTGTTGTATATCTTTCATTTACATCTGTATCGTGTTGGAATAAACATTAAAAAGCTTTTTATTTTTTTTCTTATGTATATCTTTGTGTGTTTGTGTGTTTGTTGCACAACCAACTGACTCTCAATTATAAAGTGCACTCCATGTAAAGGTAATGATCATGGAAGTTTGTTTCCCATTTCCGCTCAGCATTTCTATAACTTCTTCTATGATTATATTGGAATCACAAATATAAGTTGAAGAATTTGCAGATGGGACTAGTCTAGGGTCAAACCTTAGACCAGTTCTTTTTTTTTTATATATATATATATTTTACATTTGAGCCACCTCCTTAAACTTTTTATTAGTATGCTTCACCTAACAAACTAAAAAAAGGTTTCTTACCTCAGTGAATGTTTAATTATCATCAAAGATTGGATGTTTAACTTCATTAAACTTTGAATGTGGCAAAAATGTCAATAGGCTAAGGAAGCCAGTCCCTTCAATTGCAAAAAAAACATATAGTTAAGCTTTTCCCAGCTTCCCTTCAGCTGGTCCAAAATAGATTAATCTGGCTGCTAAAAAAACAAATAAAAGAAAGCCTGGTTGTTGCATTTCGGTCCATTAACTTTCAAATCAGGACCAGGAGTTTAACCCCTATTCTTATTTCCCTTTAATGACTAAATGACTGACAATTAACTAATTTTTTTTTTACCTCTAATTCAGGTCAAGAAGTCTTCATTAAAGGGCTTCCAACAGCTTCCAACAAGTGTGCAATCAGTTTAGCAGAAAAAAAATGTCAGTTTCAAATGTTGAAAAACATAATTTGCTCATTTGTTATGTAGATCAACTACTCAGCACAGCTAAGAGGGGGAAAATGGATGTACAAACTTCACAAAAATCTTGCTGTGTTCTTTTTATGTGTGATTGTGAGTATGTTGGGGTTGCTGTGGCTCAGGATGTAGAACAGATCACCTACTAGTTGGAAAGATGGTGGTTTGACCCCTGTCTGCTCCAGTCTGCATGCCAAACATCCTTGGACAAGATAGAAATCACTTACATATGAAAAGCATTTTTAACCTTCCTCTCGTGTTAGCTTTCTGTTATCATCTCCTATGTTAGCGGGTCGGTTTTGACCCGTGAATTAAATCAGCTATAAAATACACTAAAAACAATAAGTTCTCATCCAATTTGTTTCTCATCTCTTGGTTACCTTGTTAGGCTTCCTTATCCATGAAAATTTTGGTTTTAATACTTTTGGCTTGGGCCTCTTGGTCTTTTTTTGTCACTATACCCCTCGATTTCAATAAAAAAAAATTGTAAAATTAACCTCAAGAGAATCATATTAATAAATAAAAGTTTTCTGTGTTACCTGAGTATTACTGAGGGGTATAGGACACATCTCTTAAATAAATCTGTTTTATTGATTTTTTTCATTTTAGATTAATTACTAAAATGACATCTATGGTGTTACGGGTCAATTCCGATCCATAGATATTTACATCAAGAAAAGACAAAAATTTTGTTGTTTTTTAACAGTAGACCTTTAATATAAACTGAAAAAAAAGAAAAAGTCCACTCCTCCTTTGTTTTGGTTATAGCCGTGGGTAATTGTGGGCTTTTTATCACATCCCAATGATACAGCTTCACCTCAGTTTCCTTTGTGAAGTTCTTGTCC